GCCAAAGGGACAGAGGAAGCTCACCAAAGTGCGCCCGCGCCCGCGCCCCGCCCTTCGCCACCTCGGCCATCTCCCCTCACAGACCATCGCCGGCCAGCGAGGAGGCAAAGCTCCCGGTCAGGGTGACCCGACATTCCCAAATGTCCGCGGCGCCGAGGCGCGAGGTGCGCCGAGACCCGCCGCCGCCGGCGAACCCGGCCCCCACATTCCCGGAGAAGATGGCCGCCAGGCCGCCGTCGATCAGGGACCCGGCAGCGCCATCATTGGCAGCCGCCCCCCCGGGCCCGGACACCGGCGGGCTGAGCACCCGGATCAGCTCCCGGCCAAGCAGCTGGTCCAGGATGTCCATGAAGGTGGCCGGCGACACCGGCGTCAGGGCCACCTGCGGGGGCCCGGCCACACGGCTGCCGGAAGAGGAGGAAGAAGAAGTCCCCGGCCCGGTGGTGGCCGCCCCCGGGTGCTGACACCGCCAGGAGTACCGGTCAAAGACATTACGCAGTGAGGGGGGAATCGAGAAGGGCAATCCGAGGGGGGCGGTCCCTGCGGGGAGCGGCCCGCCGGGGTTGCTGCCCCCGGGGCCGGCCGCGCGCAGGGCCTCCTCTTCCCTGGCCAGCCGGGCGAGGGCCGCCTGCTCAAAGAGGTCGCGGATGCTCTGGATCACGGTGCGCTGGTGCGCCGGCAACGAGGCCAGCAGCGACCCGGCGCCGCCCCCTGCAGCGATCCCGGGCCCGGCTGCCGGAGCGGTGGACGGCCGCCCGGCAAAGATGGACGGCCGGCTGTCGGCCCCCAAGCCGACGGCCCCAGCCGATGCAGGCCGCGAAGGGAAGAGTGTCCCGGGGGCGGGGGCTCCCCCGCCGAGGGAGGCGGCCCGGGCGGCCGCCGCCGCGGCGAAGATACTCCCTTGGACCGGCGGGGGGGGCGCCGCCGGAGCCGGCGCCGCATTGGGCCCCGGGTCCGAGGCGCCGGCGGCGTCCTGCCACTGGCCAGCGCTGGCAATACTGGACGGCCCATCGCCCGCCGCCAAGGCAGAGGCCCCTTCCCCGGAAGGTTGCTGTTGCTGTTGCAGCTGCTGCTGCTGCTGCTGGGTCACCAGCGAAGTGGCCGCTTCCAGCAGGAGCGACAGCCCGAGCCGGGTGTCCCCGTGAGCGGCGGCCTTGCTGGCGCAGAGGGACACCTGCAGCGCGCCGGCCGGGCTCAGTAGGTCGGGCTCCGCCTCGGCCAGCGGACCATGGGGCGGCGGCAGGGGCCCGCCGGAGTGGCTCTTGGCCCAGCGGTTGAAGGCCTCGGTGCGCAGGGGCCCATAGGCGCCATTCTGCCGGACATGATGCCGCATGACCTCCTCCAGCTGGGCCCGGGTGTAGGGCAGGATGACCATGCGCTCGGGCTCGCAGTTTTTGGCCCGCAACCGCGGCATGGCCCGCTCAATCAAATCAAAGGCATTGGCGATGCCGACCACGGCCAGGCGGGCCCGCGGCAGGAGGGTCCACTCGAAGACCGTGTACAGGGACTCGGTGGACAGGTGGTCGATCTCGTCCAAAAACAGAACCACCGGCGGGGAGGAGGCCGCCGAGAAGGTGCTGGCCGCGGTGAGCGCGTCGCTGGCGCTGCTGCTGGCGGCCTGGCCGCCGGATGGCCCGGCGACACTGGCGGAGCCTCCTCCGCCGGTGGAATTCAACAGGGCCGCCAGCTGGTCCAGCAGCTGTCGCGGGCTGGTCACCCGCACGCAGTTCACCTTGACAATGCGCAGGTCTCGGATGACGGCCACCGGCACGGCCGGGCGATGCTCGGCCAGATGGTGCCGCAGGTAGGACACCAGGGCCGAGACCATGGCCGACTTGCCGGTGCCCGGCCGGCCGGACACGTACACCCGGCCGCTGGCCTGCCCGCGGAGGGCTCCGATCACCAGGCCCACCAGGGTGTCCAGCTCGGCCCGGCGGCCGGGAATGGCCAGCCGATCCAGCGGGTTGCCGGTGGGCGTCGATGGTGCTGACTGAGGGGTGGTCTGGCTGACGGTGAAGACCTCCAGGAACGACGGGCCAGTGATGTTGCTGCTGCTGCTGCTGCTGCTGGTATCGTTGGTCTTTGATAGCTTAGCCGAGGCGACCTCAACTGAAGGGAGAACGGAGAACGAGGGAGGGGAGAGGGAGGGGAAGGCGGGAGGGAGGTGGATATACGGGTGGATTTCAAGGACATATATTAGGGTGTTAAAGCGCGGGGGGCGTGAAACAGGAGGGGGTATGAAGTAGAGGTGGTGGGGGGGGGGGGGGAGATCATGGGAGAGGGTGTGGGGAGACAAGGCCCGTATGTCCTGTGAACATAGACACAGACAGACACACGGGCAGACACAGACAGACACACGGAGAAAAGGAGGGGGCGGAGAAAGAAAGAGGGGTGCGCATAGGTGCACAAGCGTGATGCCAG